CGTTTGTTTACATTGGCTTGCTTACGTCTGTCTTATACCATCATAGCAACCATTGCCCAGCCGCTCACCATCAGCGTGCCCTCTAACCGTCATCAGGCACTATTCTTATTCATTACATTTTACAGCTTAGTCCTGTAACGACGGCTGACCCGTCTATTCTCGAGACGTCCTCAAAATGACGATTCTCAAAGTAGAGTTCTTAAGTATGTCAATATATTATCTGCTGAATCAATTTCTCACAAGATCAGGTCTGACATTTGTACGACCACGGCACGTCTTCCTCCTTTTACTTATCGTCTCAATAATACTTATGTGTACGTCCCTCCACGGCAACTCTAGCGTAATGCAATAGTTACTAACGATTCCAAGCACTCCTACTAGCAGGATGTTCATCTTCATTTAGCGTCATGCCGAGAATATACTTGCTGAATATCGGCTACAATGGCGGCACGGTATACCAAGTTAATGGTGCCACAGTGGTTAACCCGAATGCGAGCGTAGTACTGGGAAATATCGTGGGACAAACTACATTGGAAGTCCGGATAGGATATTTCGGTATGTCCGTCTTCGTTTGGTTGACGACAAATGGGTTTGATATTGACTCCGGACAGCGCTATGTCTACGTTCTTCGCCGGGTGGCTGGCTTTGTTCACAAAACGCGACGTCGTTGGCAGAGAATCTATATGCGTACGAAGATCCAATTAATTTACTCCATGTCGCGCAAACCTTTCGTGAGAAAATAGTCTTTCCGTATCTTCTGTAAGTCATTCGAATCTCTGGCAAGAAACATTAACTGATATCTCAACCAGCATCATCGCCGCTGCGCTCTCGTTCATAGTATTCGTGCTAATCCTTCCGTATCCGCCGCTCCTCAAAACAGTTGCCGTCGGCATATGCTTTCTCTCCGCTATACTTGTCCTGATATCTGTTTTATGGCAACACACAGCATCCGTCGGCGCAGCAACTGTGGCCACGAATCTAGCGAATGGCACGATATTCACGGGAGTTGGAATCACGGCAATGATTTTGGGTTGGTTCACTTTCGGGTTGTTGACGTTGACTGTTATTGGTGTGTACTTCTTTGTTGCGATTAATGCTCTGCACTCTGCGTAGATGTGATGATGATTCGTATATGTAATGCTTGGATAGGGAACTGAATCAGTTTAGAACAGAACAAGCAATTTCACCAATAGTTTTCATAGTAGACTGCTTTAGATGGAGTAATGTATTGGTTTGGAACAGAGTAAAGATTGGACGCCGATATTACGACAGCCTAGTTCCTCTTTTAACGGTTGCACGAGGTAAAACCGTAGTCCAATGAAAGAAGAAGTCTTAATGGACACGAACCGTAAAACCACCATGTATTATAACGATGTATAGACAAATGATACTTTTAGCTCATATCCATCCAACAAACCCAACAAAATACAATATACACATAAACAGTTTAAATGTAAGTCTCGTACGCCACCGGCGCAAGAGTAACAGGGACGTTACCCTCTGACGAAACGACATGAGCCTCTCTAGGCAAGACAGGCTGTCGCTTAAGGAACACCTTCTCACCTTTCGCCTTCGCTTCCTGTCTCCGAGCCGCGTTCTCCTTGACACGGTTGACGAACTCCTCACGGCACTTGGAGTGTTTGACGTGCTCGATGCGGACATTGATGCGCTTCTCGAGGTATCGGTTACCGACGACCTTGTAGATGATCACACCGACTGAGGACTTTGTCACATTGTAGACAATGCCGGTCTTGCCGTGGTAGTATTTATGAGGCATGCCCTTCTGGACGGCACCATTGGCCTTAATGTCGACGATGTCCCCGACCTTGTAGGTCTTGAGATAGGTAGTCATACTATTTCCCTATTAACATCCCACTTTTTATTTTATGACATGCGCATGCTGCCAATGATCATTTTCTGAATGGAGTACTTACGAAATGACACCATGTTTCTTGTAATCGCGAGAAAATGCATAGCGAGTGCCAGATCGGTAACCGTGACTATAATGCCATTAGCATACAATCCCTACACAACCATCTCAGAGTCGCAATATCCAAATATCCAAATTCATAATTGAAATGGTGAATTATCGACAATTCGGTCGTGCACATACCTGTGACCCATCTTTGCTAATTTGCTGAATATATATGCAAGTGCAATAGGGACAATTGACGACTCTTCGAAGTGTAGCATTCAGGATCCTAGCAACTTGTGATGATTCGCTTGGCCCTTAACGAAAAAAGTAGTCACGCACACCAGTAGGGCTATACCCTAAGACGAAAGATTAAGGTTTATATCCATAAGCCGACGGTACGAAAACCCTTAGTTCCAAATCTATTGGGTTTGGGTTGACAGAGCGCATCGCCATCACTTCTTGGTCCGTCCTTATGAATATACCCGATCTAATAATTCAATCCCTCGGCTTCAGCCATTTGCGTATCGTCGTTGATTAGCATATTTGATATCACAACGTATCGAGATTTGATAAAATGACAGACGAACACGAAAAGTTCAAATTCAAAACATTTGACCAACTCGCGCCGCCTTCGAAAACCGACCACGCCACCACACCGCTCTCGTCCCGACGGGTAAAAGGCAAGGAACTACCCATCGAGCGCGACGCAGATGGCAAGGAAATCAACCCGTACATCCCGCAATTCATCTCCAAAGCGCCGTGGTACGTCGATAGTAGTGGCGAAGTCTCGCTTCGTCACCAACGTAAAGATAAAACCGAGAATTTAAGTGCCGAGACCGAGTGGTATAAACGCGGCATCAAGGCTGGAGCCGCGGCGACGAAGTATAGGAAGGGCGCGTGTGAGAATTGTGGAGCCATGACACATAAGGCGAAGGATTGTATGGAGAGGCCGAGAAAAGTTGGGGCGAAGTTTTCAGGCAAGGATATTCAAGCGGATGATTTGATTCAGGATGTTAAGATGACATGGGATAGCAAGCGCGATCGGTGGAATGGTTACGATGCGACCGAGCACTTGAAAGTGGTGGAGGACTACCGGAAGCTGGAGCGACTACGGCAGGAGAAGGAGGAGGAGAAAGGCGAGGATGGAGATCATTATGACACGGAGGCAGCTAAAGTGCCCGGGCAAGGATATGACTCGGACGCCAGAATGAGCACGAGGACCCTTCGGATCCGTGAAGACGCGGCTAAATATTTGAAGAATCTCGATGCGAACGGCGAGGAGTATAATCCAAAGAGTAGGACAATGAAGAACGACAATGATGGCTTACTAGCGTCGGAAGATGACTTTGTCCGGCAGAGCGGTGAAGCAGAAGAATTCGAAAGCTTGAAGCGATTCGCTTGGGATGCAGCCGAGAAAGGCGCCAATGTGCACATACAGGCAAACCCTACTGAGGGAGCGCTGGCAAAGAGGAAATACGAAGTGGAATCTAAAGAGAAGAGCGAGAGACTCAAAAAGCAGCTGATTGAAAAGTACGGCTAGATCGCTAGAATAGATTGCCTGGTCCATGTGCGATATGTTAGGTCATTGTCATGCAACAATTACTTGGTCAAGTTGTCTTCTCATTTCGGAGACAGACGTGTAGACAGGGATCCTGGATGTACAGACTATTTTAAGCAATGAACTTTTCATATTTCGCAAAATTACTAAACACTTGTACCAGGAAGTAAAAAATACAAGATGAAGTCATATCAATCCAACATCCTAAACACACCAAATGTACAATCGCTTACTCCTCGTCCTCCTCGGCCTCCTCATCATCACCACCACTCTTATCAGCCTGGCGCTTTCGCTGAACGCGACCAGGACGACCACCACCGTAAGGTGAGGTGAGAGCGAAATCAATGTGCTTCTGCGAGTCGAGGCGAACCATGAAGGAAGGAACATTGACGATCTGCTTGCCGACACGGACATGTCTCTGCCTGATCAATATACGCGCATGATGAATGCTCTTGGCCAGACCCAACTTGAAGACTTGAGTCTGCAATCTCCGTTCTAAGAAATCCTCAATCTTCAGCGCCAATACATAATCGAGACGCATTTTATCCTCGCTCAAGACACCAACACGGACGAGACGGCTAAATTTCGTTAGATCCATCTCCACCGTTCTTGCACTTCATATTGTTCTATTTAACGCGGCACATACCGAATAAGGGCGTTACCCTCGAACAGACGCTTGGGGTCCTTTTCATCTCTGGTCAACAAATCTCGCGCAGCTCGTCGGATCTTCGACAACTGCAGGCCAATTCTGTAGATCTCTCGCTTGTTCTTCAAACCGCTGCACAGTAGTTAGCTCGATTGATCTCATCATTCACCAGCAAGTCAACCAAACGTACTATTCACCAGCAAGCTTAAGCTCCGAGTCCTGTTACTTGAACGTAAGTATCACCTTAAATCATCTCTGCAAAACTAATGGTATTTACCAAACGGGCAAGTTCATAAGGACTATACAATTGTCAGCAACCGCGTCCTTGATTCCATTTCTATCTCTCAAAACTGCAACATACCGCTTAGGGACCGTGTAGGTCTTCGAGTACGTGCTTGGCGCGCCTAATCGAGCATCATCAGCATCATTATTCCGTACTCATTACCAACAAAATTCCAGTCATCACAAATCAAGTGAACAAAGTCGAGTACGTACGAGGCATCTTATATTATCGTTGGTGATGAGTTGTAGCAAAAGAACTAACAAAACTATGTTACTCCAAAATTCGAGATGCAGTCCACCGCACGAAGGAATGTTGTGGGTAGTATGGCCTTGGCTTTTGCCCTAACATTGGCTCGGCCGAATTCCCGACCTCTAAGCGTGACTGCTTTCATAACCCTAGATTAACTGATTACAACCCTACAATTTAATTTGGACATCGGGAGTAAATGACCACTTCTCATTATTGTAAAGTATACATTGATAGTTATCAGACGAATAATTATTTCTAGCCTGCTGGCACTCAAGAAAGAGCAGGTGCACTACCAGGGTTAGGGGGTATTGCTAACAGAACTGAGGTTTCAATTTTACCCCTCTATTAAGGCGCTATGGCCGAGCGGTTAAGGCGAGAGATTAGAAATCTCTTTCCCTTTGGGAGCGCAGGTTCGAGTCCTGCTGGCGTCGTCTATTTTTTGAATTTTTTGTATGCATATCTCATGTGATAACCCTCCTGGCATCCGTGGACCGTGGTCCCAATTGTGCATTATGAATCTCAGAAATTTCATAGTGCTATGAGTGAATTCATTCCCTTTTGGGAACTATAGCCCTATTTAGACCTATCTCATGCCGGTTCCATTCTGGTATTCTTCTCCTCGTACTCTGATGCCTAACGGGTTGGAGCCAATATTATACCAGTAATATCCAAAAATATTAGACGTTGCTTTCTGATGGAGTCTAACTGGGAGACAATTTATAAGATAAGTATGACGTGATTGGCGTATTATTGATACTGTTGGCATTACTCACCATTCATACGGATTAAGGGGTCAAAAATTAGGAATGAGATGTGACAAAAAAATTCTGTGTACTAAACCCAAATATATATCATAAGCTGTAGATGACATGTTTCTGCAATAATCAGTAAATTTACGCTTGCTACATGTTGTGTGGTCTGGCGAGAGCGAGACGGCACTTGAGAGCGCCAGCGCCGTTCCAGCACCATTTGCCGTTAAGTTTAGAAATTTGTTCAAGCACTACAAATCAACCATGTATTTTCTATATTGACTCTGTCTAAGGAATGGGCTATTAGATGCGCGACAAAATAGCAAAAACATGATCTGACGTGTCGTCTTCCCTCCTGGCTGAGTCAGTCACCAGCCACGGCTCTCTGCCGCAGATAATGCGGCTTGAATGAGGTCGTGGAGAAACCAACGGCCCCCACGCTTCATGAAATTGAACGTGGAGAAACTAATGGCCCCCACGCTAAATGATGAATATCACAAGCACATTCATTCCAAGAATATGGGAGGTTAATTACACGTCCTCCTCAGTTTTCTGGGATTAACGGTGGAACTTTCAACTGCTGTAATTTTACTAATGCAGTAATATGATTGCAAGTGCGCTCACGCCGCGAATAATGGAATTAGGGCCACTTTCAATCGAGTGAGGTATTCAGTAATTTGACATTAAAAACCTGCAAATGTACGCTACAGGTCATTTTAGTTAAGCAAGCCTAGAGACTCGTAGACGCAAGCGTCGAATTGTAGTCCGCCGCATGCAGTTCAGTCCGCATATCACATGGTCTGCGAACATCTAGATGACGACGACCATAAGGTGTAGGGCACCCCCCGTTTCTTAGTCTGTACGTGTTCGTTTCATCCTTGTTTATCGTGAATTGCTTCTTTGACAGTGCGGAGACCCAAAACCGATACGACAACCGACGGCGAACAAGCTCCGAAGAAACACTTGGCACCACAGTGCCGCTCTTGCCACTAATAAAATGGTTCGAGAAGTAGTTGGCACTAAACCAGGCCCCTCATTTGTACAGAAAATTGCGACGAAATTTCCTGGCCAGTTAATTGGCGTGGGCCAGACCCGTGTTGTCAGCCACATTCAGGGATTGCACCGCCTCATGCGGCACAGAGTGGCAATGACATGCTCAATGCAGCGAACCAGCCGTGTGCGTGAGTCGCTGCTGTAGACATTCACCGCGGACGTCTCGTCTGAATTTAATCACCCCGTTCCAATCGCGTTATACACAACACCGCTATCCCACAATATAGCTATGCGCTACTCTACTCTGTCAGTTATAGCTACTGGGGCATTGTTACTTGTGTTTCTGGCACCTGCGCCGGCAGCAGGTGGTTTGGTAAGCCGCACCGAAGACTCGATCAACTCAGATCGAATGCCGTCCGTCGAGGGCTCTGAAGGTTCTCCCCTAGCTCGCACGGAGCTCAGTACTGACGGTAGTGCTGTGGGCGAACTCGGTACGTTTATTTATACTATCCGATGTTTCTGGTCTTTGCCGTTTTCACCATTAGCTCACTCTGCTAATCCATCACAGTATCTTCCGATGAGCTTTCTGCTGCCCACGCTACTGACGACATGGAGCACGGTGTCGCAGCCATGGCTCCCGCGGTCGCTCACCCGCTCGGAACAACACATGACTCTATTGTCGACAACTATCGCTCCTTCGCCATGTCCTTCATGATGATCATCTTCTCAGAGATCGGTGACAAGACGTTCCTCATCGCAGCCATCATGGCCATGAAGCATCCTCGCACGACCGTCTTCACCGGCGCATTCGCTTCGCTCGTGGTCATGACAGTCCTGTCAGCTCTGCTCGGCCACGCAGTCCCGCAGCTCATTCCCAAGAAGTATACGTCATATCTCGCGGCATTCCTCTTCGTCGTATTTGGTGTCAAACTCATCAACGAAGGTCGTCACATGGACAAGAGTGTCGGTGTCGAGGAGGAAATGCAGGAGGTTGAGAATGAGCTAGAGGCTAAGGACTTCGAGTCCCAGTCCGGCTCGCTCGAGTCCGGTCCCGTCAAATCAGTGAAGGCGGGAAAACTGAACGGGCTTGTGAATCTCCTCGGTCTGTTTCTCAGCCCCGTATGGATCCAAACCTTTGCAATGACTTTTCTCGGAGAGGCAAGTACCGTCTATCGCAATTCGTTGTCGTACACTAACGCGCCACAGTGGGGAGACAGATCTCAAATTGCCACCATCGCAATGGCCGCCGGCCAGGACTACTTGTTCGTCATCATCGGCACAATCGCCGGTCACGGTCTCTGCACTCTTGCGGCTGTCCTCGGCGGAAAATTCCTCGCGTCTAAAATCAGTCTGCGGACCATCACCCTTGGCGGCGGCGCAGCCTTCCTTGTTTTTGCAGTCATCTACTTTTACGAGGCCGTGCATTTGTAGGTTACATATTTGCGATATAGAGCGTTCTCTCTGTCGATGTTGCTTGTCTCTGGTTGGGTACATCAATACAAGGCGATCAGCATTTCATGCGTTTGCATGTTCCTCTTGGATATTTGCGTCATATTGTTATTGAAATGCTTATTTTTGGTGTTAATACTGCGAAATACTGCGTGGTCTAAAACTATGGAATTATTGCCTCTGATTTTATTTGCTTGTCTTCGTCAGTTCATGTATTATGGGTATTATAAGAAATGTGTTTAAGTTGCATGCTATTTTACATCATGGTGGCTATTCGCTATTGCACTAGATTCTAATTAGAATACGTCGACACTAATTAATAGGTCGCGCGGGCTTTCATCAAGCAATGCTGCGTGTCGCAACGATATCGTATGAGTGGTGTCGGATATTATTTTAATAAAATTATATCCCTATTATTTCATACTTATTCTATAAAGATTGTTCGATCTAACTTTCTTAATTCTGCGGCGAGAAGAGAAACTAAAACTAGTAGGCGTCATGACCCCATCTCGAGGTGGGTATTTGTTATTTGAGAGCGATTAGTTTATCGTCCACCCAGCACAATTCATAGTGTTTACTAACATCAGGTTGGCCCGTATCAGCACAAACGCATGCCAAAGAGACCACACACCCTCTGTTTTTACTTGCTGAGAGTTAAACGATAATCAATATTACCGACCAGCGATAGTCTACCTTGGGCTGACATAAATATTGTCCTTGTTACTGGTTCTCTCGTTCTCTGTTCTCTGGCTACTGCGAAATCTGCCAGGCGCCTGTTCTTGCTTCCCTTTACTGTCGAGCCAAATATATAAAATATTTCTTTTCCCGCTGACTCTGCTTGACTATTCGTTCCGTTGTCACCCCAAACTCACATTAACTAATAGCAGACAAAGCGATTTGAGTGTATATACATACGTACGGGTTACAGCTAAATGTGAACACATCTCACCGCGTAGCGCTTGGGACTCGCCACTCTTCATTATGGAGAATCAAGTTGCACAGCATAAAGGACTACATGGCGTTGAACGTCCTGACAATGCAAGTGGCATTTACTCTGACTTGACGGTCACTATACCGGAGGTCAACATCGAGAATGCTGCGACAGCGATAGAGAATCAGACACGAGACGTCCTGGGCCGTGATCCCATATTATTCGAAGACGTTAGTTATTGTCCGACCAAATACCAGAGAATAATGGGCCGCTTTTGGGATACATTCCAGAAACCACCGAAAGAGCGCAAGTTTGTCCAGAGATTGGACTTTTATTTACTGTAAGTTATGTTTTTGTCATAGTTAGTGCTTTTTAATGGTTACTAGGTTGTATTCGATGTTGTCATTTATAATCAAAACTCTTGACTCTGGAAATATCAGTAATGCCTTCGTGAGCGGGATGAAAGAGGAGGTACGCATGGCAGCTTTGTGTTCAGACCTCAGACATGACACAGCCAAACTGACAGTACGGCCCAGCTCTCACTCAACCAACAGGAACGCAATTTGTTCAACACTGCGTTTGATCTTGGTGGTCTTATTGGCGCGATTCCGTCGCAATTTATTTTGATTAGGATTCGGCCGTCGATTTGGTTGCCTTCTTGCGAAATAATTTGGTCGCTTTTGGTTATGGGCATGGCGTCGTCCAAATGTGCCAGAGATGTGAATATGCTACAAATTCTGCATGTGGAACAGAGAGGCCTAATGGCTGATGTATAGGTTTACATATATCGTTTCTTCGTTGGAATGACTCAGGCTGTCGCGTATCCCGGTTTCTCGATGGTCCTCGGAAGCTGGTATCTTCCCGGAGAACTTGCCAAACGCCTCTCTCTCTATGACGGCTCGTACACGATTGCAAATATGATGGCAGGATATCTCCAAGCCCTTGTCTATGCAACGCTGAATGGCAAATACGGCCTCTCGGGCTGGCGCTGGCTCTTCCTTATCGACGGAATCATCGGCATCCCCCTCGCGATCCTTGGCTATTTCTGCATCCCAGACTTCCCGACAACAACCCGTGCCTTTTGGCTCAGCAACGACCTCCGCAAATATGCCGTGGCACGCATGGCTGAGGCCGGTCGCAAACCTCCCCGTAAGCTCACATGGAAGAGAGTGTGGGGTTGGATGAAGACGTGGAGACCATACGGATATGTTTTCCCGTACGTGTTATTCGCAATCACGTCGACATATAATTATTTTAATTTATGGCTCAAGAGTCTGGATATTTACACTGTTGAGCAAGTTAATCTGAT